CTCGATTGCAGTGCGCCAGGCACGATGGTCTTCTCGCAGCCGGAGCCCTTGCACGCAGCAAGGTGGTGGGCCGCAGCCCTCCCCCCGTGCTGCCGCCGCGCGCGGGGAGCGAGGGCCGTGGGGAGCGCGCGGAGACTCTGCTTGCCTGGATGCACCTGCTTGTCCAAAACACGATGAAATAAAGATGCTTCTGGGAATTACGCTGCTTCGCTTCCCTGACACGGCTTGCCAAGGGAACGTGAGTCATGCACTTCGATGCTGGAGACCTCCTCGTTTAGCACTCAGTCTGACTGGCTCCGAAATCCGGGGCCGGCTAAGCTGGCGTATTCCGTGGTGCCCCAAAAAAAGCAACTCCGTGTGTGAATCAGACTGAGTAACGAGATGACTAAAACTGCTGTCTTTTATGGAGAGTTGTCACAGAAGGGTGTCAGCAAACATACCAGTTGCTGCTTTCCTCCGTCAGGGAGGAACGCAGGGTCCTTTGCTTTGCTCCCTGCCAGCGCTCTCACAGGTCAGTACTGAGCGGTGGTTTTCGATCGGCAGCGTGAGCGTTCTTGGTCAGCGTGTCCGACTGGCGCCTGAGCTCGTGTGGCTGAACCGGTGTGGTTCCTGCTGTGCTGGGACGGGCTGCTGGGCAGCAGCAGTGAGATGGGTTCCTCCAGGACGGAAGGGCTGTCGGACACAGCAGTGTTTGACTGCCAGCTCTGGACACGCTGGGCTGGTCTGCCAGCAAGGCGGTGCTCAGAGGACGGCTGCACGCGTGGGTCTCGGTGCTGCTGGGTAGGTCCCTGGGGACGAGGCGTATGACGCTTTCGCTCTTGGGATGCTGGGACCCTTGAGAAGGAGGGTCTGGCTTCCTGTGGCCTTCTGGCAATGCATTGCAGGGTTTTGGAGACAATTTTAGCTCTGTGTTCCTTTGCTCTGCTGAGAGAGACCGGAAAGTCCCTCTCAGTAGCTGGGAGTCCACTGCCGCAGGTGTCCTGATGCCCAGCTCGGTGAGCTGAAGTGGATCTTGCCCAAAGCTGTAAATCCTGACCACTGCCTTCTCTCCTGCCCTGCTAGGAACGCCTCCACGGCCGTGTACGCCTGCCGGAACCCCGTCCAGGAAACCTACTTCCAGCAGCTGGGTGCTCCGCTCCGCAACTCGGGTGTTCCCAACCCTCACGACAGCGCGTTCAGCTTGCCGAGCAAGGCCAAGCAGAAGCTGCTGAAGCATGGAGTGAACCTGCTTTGAACTGATGCGCCCAGGCAACGCGTCTCAGCCCGTGCTGAAAGTCAGTTCGTCTCCAGTAAGCAAATTCTCGAAGCCGTTTGCGCTGTAGGAGGCATGAGGCTCTGTGCTGGGGGGTCTCCAGCCGGCCTTGCCCCGAGGAAGGGGCACTCCTGCTGCCCTGTCCTGGCAGCACGCGTTGTGCCAGCACAGGGTGTTGCTGGTGTTGGCACTTACCAAAGGCTGACGGTGGGACGTGGCTGTGCGGGGCCCTTGGTTTCCGCTGACTGCAGGAGTGTTGGTGGTGCCCGGCCGCCACAGGCAGAGGCTCCCGCAGTGGCTTGGCCCGAGGGGGGCCCCCCCTT